GCAAGCTCCTATTCCATCTCCCTGCTCCAAAAATCCATTTAATATACTTTCCTTGGATAGAAGATGTATCAGATATTAAACGGATACTACACTCGATCTTAGCCAAAAGGCCGAGAAGTGATCTCTGGGCTTTTTTTAATGCCATTTCCTCTGCTTAGAATATTCCATTCAAACACACACACACACACACACACACACACACACGCCCACAGACATGTGTGCACATACACATATACATGTGACTAATACACTTGTTCTCAGGCCTCAATGGGAACCTGTCCTCTACTCCTTACACCTGAGGTTGGGGGTCTGCTTCCTGCCCCCCCCCAGCCTCTGGGGCTCCTGTTTGCTGGACTGTGCAGCGCCAGGCAGGCAGAGCCGTGCCTTCCAGAGTCGTAGCTGATGCCCAGCACCTGGCAGGGTGCCTGGAGCAGAATAGCTTTCTAATAAATAACTGTGGGCTGAATGATTAAGTGAAAGAAAGAACTGTTGATCTCAGTGGGACCTGCAAAAAGGACTAAAAAAAAAAGAAAGAAAAAGAAAAAAGGAACAAGAAAGAAAGAACCGCCGCCCGGGTAGGTCACCTCAATTCTGTCCTCGAGTCACTGACATCCCTGACCCACATGCGGACTTCACATGCTTCCCTGCCAAATCCCATCGGTTGGATTTCAGCTCCACCGTCCAAGTGGAGACAACTTCTGAATCTCAGTTCTCCCACCCGGCAGATTTGCTCGCCCTCAAAGCTCTGTCATCAGCAAATCTGATCAGCATGCCTTCTCCATCTTCATCCAACTAGTGGGTAAGAGACAGACCGCGCTGGCGCCCAGGATGAATTCCTGTGACTCAGCACTGCCAGGGAAAGCGCTAGCGTGTCCCTAGCACTTCTTATATGCCAGGTGCACACTCAGCCCTCCCCCTTCGTTACCCGATTTCAGTGAGTTTTAACCTTTTTCATTTCACGGCACACATACACTAATGACTGAAATGCTGTGGCACACCAACAAATGTATGATTCTGCCGATCTGACAAAAAATGGATAAAATTTTGATCCATTCACACCGGATGGCTATTTTTGTGTTGGCTGTTGTCATTTTTTTATTTGACAATCTAAGGGAAAAGAAGTCAGCCCTCACACTGAAGAGTCTCGCGTTCAAGAGGAACAGGTGTTGCTAGCCTCTGGGTTGACCCGAGAGGTCAAGGCATGTGTGGGAGGCAACCAATCAATGTGTCTCTCTCACATCAGTATTTCTCTCTCTCTCTTTCTCTCTCTCTTCCTCCTTTCCACTCTCTCTAAAAATCAATGGAAAAAATATCCTCAGGTGAGGATTAACAACAAAACGAAAATAAGCCCGTGCCCCTGACTAAATAGTCAGCTATTGCATGTTTAAAAATTCTTGCAGCACACCGGTTGAAAATCGCTGCCTTATTTAGTTCTCACCACAAATCCTGTGAGTGGGACCCATGATTATGTCCAATCTACACATAGACAAACAGCAACTTAGACACCAGAGGACACTTCCTGGCCTCCCTGGCAGTTAGAAGCGGCCGTAGACTGAGGTTTAGCCGATGGCATACGAGCGGAAGGGGTACATGCTGCTTCCAGGCCTGGCTCACAAGAACCTCCCATGTAAGCTCTCCCGTGCCCTTTCCCCTTCACGCTGGCTGAAAGGCAAGGACCCTGTGGGTGATCTTGGAAGGCACATATTGAAGATGGCGAAACCTCCATTAGCCCGGGGCCCTGGGTGACTACATGAAGGAGGGCCATCCCACTAACCCACCCGATACTTTCCAGGAGAAAGAAAGACATGTCTATTACTTTTGAACCATTAAATGATTTGTTACAGCAGCTACCCTAACTAATCAATTAGCCACCTCAACTGATACTACTGGCTTTGGCATTTTTATTAAAAAGAGGCTCCGGGAGATTAAGTAACGTATCATACAGCTATTTTGTGGCAAAGCAGGACCTACTCCTGTCTGACTTCAGCCTTTGGATTCCACTGCATCTCACTCCCACACTGGAGGACGCATAGTATTGGCCTTAACTTCCTGCAAGAGGCCAGGGCAAGAAGAAGGGGCAGAGGGGAGCCAACCAGGAGCAAGTGTGCAGGGGTAAGGAGGGGCCTGTCCACCTGATGCCTGGGGAGGCTCTGGGAGCTGGGCAGGGAGGGCCCTCATGGCCCAGCTGGAGCCACTGCAGGCCTGGTGTGCAGCGCAGCCAGGCACCACCCCAAAAGGACAGGAACCCCCTTCAAAGCGGGTGGAGGAACCTGCCAGAAGCAATCTATCATCCCCCAAGCTCTCGCAAGAGAGCGGTGTGAGTGATAGGTTTGCTAACAGGGCAGGGCGTAGTGAGTCTGTGTTCCTGGAGAGCCAAGGGCCGCAGGAAGCTGAGGACCAGACACTCATATGACAAAGGCTTAAATCCATCCTTTCATTTCCTCTGCCTCTGTGCTTTTTTACTTCCTTTTATTTCCCTTTAATGTCTCAATAAAGTTGTGTTTTTTTTTTAAATTCCAACCCAGCTCCTATGTGGTGAGTGAAAAGGGCAAGGAGAGAACAGAAAAGTCAGGTAACAGAATTCTCTGGGTTGGGCAGCTGCCCGGTCTACTTGGAGGTGGCACCTGAGCTGTCACTAAGCTTTCACACCTGGAGCGGTGGGGGGCTGCAGCCAGCTTGTTTCCAAGTGGGATGACCCCTTATTTCATCTCAGCTCCAGGGGCGTGGGGATCTTTGCATAGGTGCCACCAGGCTGTGTGGGCCCCAGGCTGAGGGGCAGGGGACTTCTCAGGAGCCCCTTGCAAGAGGTACAATCAAATAGGACTTGGTGAGGACGCTGGGCTCCTCCGAGCAGCGTCTCCCAGCTCCCTGAGTCACTGTCCAGTTGAACCCATGCCCCCTCTGGAAAGAACTGCAAACATCTTAATACTTGGCACCGATGAGGAAGCCACAGCACAGAGAAGGGCAGAATCGGCCCCGATCACACTGCCTCTCAGTGCTGGAGCAGGACCTCAGGTCCCCTTGTGTCCGGTGCCATCAGGAGGGAGGCCAGGGCAGGGCCTCTGTCTCTGACCAGGGAAGGCTGCAGTGGGGTGGGGGGGCTCATACAGTGGACCGACAGCGAAAGGTAGCGTCTTCCTTCCACGGTGCCAGACAATCGAATCTTGGCCAGACAGCTATTTGCTAAATTTGGTTCAAAGACTGTCTTCTGTTAACTCTTCCA